AAAAAAAAAAAAAAAAGACTGAGGACAAGCGATGGCAAGCCACATGAAGATGGCCAACGAGCAGAGGCTCAGAGACAAGGACCTTCCTCCAGAGCTAACAGGAAAGAAAGCCTTGCCCTAGAGCTGACACCCTGAATGTGGACTTCTAGCCTCCTAAATTATGAGAAAATGAATTTCTGTTTGTTAAAACCACTCGTGACATTTCTGTTACAGAGGACCATTACTTTTCACCAGGATAGATCAGTTTTATTACCACTTGTTCTACATTGAATATTCAGGCTTATTTTTCCTTCTCAAGTGGGTGTAAAATGACATTCTACAAGGTTGCTTTGTGTTTAATTATCAGAAAAGGTGAATATTATATTAATTGTTAATGATAAGTTTTTATCCATTGTTCTTAGTAGCATTTTTATAATGAATTTAATTTTAATTTTATAATGAATGAATTTTCCCTTTGCAAATCACAGGTATTTTCCCCGTCATATTTGATTCAAACAGGTACCATTTTGATACCTTTAGAACATTCTTTCATCATATGAAGGCTTTTAAATGTAAAACATTGAGATGTCAAACTTACTTCAGTCTCCTTTCTTACCATCTTACCATCTATATTCCAAGCACAATGAACTGTTTCTGCATTTATAGATTGTCACAGGCCAGGATACTTGATTGCTGGCCTCAGAAATGCTGTCCTTAGTACCTGGAAAAACACCTACCTGCCCCTGCTTGAGCACTGCTGTTCTGGCAAAGCCATTGCTAACCCCGAGACCCCAAGACTGGATGAGGTACTCATTGACACACATATAAACCTCTATCTTGAACTTAGCACACTGTACATCCATTGTACGTTTAACTTTCTTGCCAAGTAGATTTCAAGCTGCTTAACAGATGTGCCTAACTGTGCTTTTGTATCAAAATGTGCTCAGTACTCAGGGGGGGAAATGTGTGGTTTTGGGGTATACTAAATGTTTTATGGTAGGCCACATACTGCTGTATGCTATTCTATCTCAACTGCACAGTATTTTACAGAATTTAAGAAACTAAAAAATTCATTATGACAATTAGTGTATATAATTGAAGGAAATCATTTAAATAAATTACCAAGGACTTGGGTAATGCGTTGTTTCTTCTCTTAAAAGGTTTCTTCTTAATGTAACAATATATGAATACAGAGATAAGGATAAGAACTACAAAGAATACGGTAGCAAAAACAACTGGAATCCAAACAGAATCTGAAAAGAAGCAAAGAAAGATCACACACATTAGAGTGAACTACTGCTACAGCTGAGCTCATCATTCACAGTAGTTACATTCTATGAAGTGGCTGCGAATCAGCAACTCGTGAACCACAGCTCCTAGGGAAAATATAGCACCAGGCTCCTGCAAGCCTCTGGTCACAGCATTTTCATCAATTGACTGTTATACAGCCTTGCTGCATGTGTGTTTCTCTTTAAAGCCATCCTATTTAAGCTACATTGAGTCATTAATACTCAACTTCATAGCCCACAGTGCTGTAATTCAAGCCTAAGCAAAGTTTACCTGACACGTGTTTTTTCTGTAAAGCACATCTCAGCCTCTTTATGCTAAACAGTACTTTAGCACTATGCTAGGGTCCATTTTCAACAGCAAAATCAAATTAGTGCCATGAAAAACATGGCATTGAACAGACCTTAAAGGGCTCTTGTTTCCACTGATATCAGATGAAATGAGAAAACAGAGTGTCGCCTATTTGACCTCAGCTGGAAACCTGTATGGTGGCGACTGAAGATTCCTGTTCTGGGACAGCCACGAGTCATCGTGAAAGTGCCGGCAGGTTGATTTCGGAGTTTAAAAGAAACCTTAATGAGTGGGTACATTTGCGAGTACGCAATCTGTGAATTTGGAGGATCGGCCGTCCCACGGAGTTATAAAGCCGAGGGCTGCTCGTTTACAGACTGACTTCACTGGGCAGCCAACGTGGTCACAGTGGTAATGGACAGTGGAACAGATGTCAAGTGTTCTGAATAGAACATGATGTCTCTGTCCTGTGTAGTTTCAGGACGTTTTTCTGAACCTTTTCACTGCAGCCTTGGATAATCTTGTTTCCCAGAGTTAGACTTGTCTCTCAGTTAAAGGAGCAAAGAAAAAATTAAGCAACTGTAAAAATAAACTCTGCAACATTCATACCGTTTAAAATAGTTTAGCCCCCTCCTCAGAATTTTCCGTTACACTTTATCTATTTCAAGATGGCAAATACTCGGGAAGATGTGTCCATATGGCCACATGCCACAAGGAAGAAGCCACTTTGAATGAAAGCCATCTGATGCTGTTTCATTTTGTCAGCACGATTTTCAGTATTTTTTATAGTCCCGTCTTCCTAATGAACAGCACTTGATGTATCGGGTGAAGTCTGGATGCCTTTGTGGAATCCTACCACCTCTAATGTCTATTCCAAAGGGTACAGTCACTAGATAACGAATGCTAATAACCATGTCTCACGTAGTAAAAGACGTGCCGCCTGTGAGGCACCAACACAGACAGGAGGGGGGCCTCTGTGTCTGAGGTACCGTGGCGCCATCATGTGGACAGAGTTTATCATCCCACTGTCAAATATAGACTAAAATTTTTTTTAAATCTGGGAGCATTTGCATAATTCAAATTTTGTGCATTAAGTAGAATTTTATTATTTGCATTATGCTAGTCTATAACACCATTTCTAATGTTGACCCCCCAAAAACAAGGAAAAGATGATGAATAAAATATTTTTAAATGTTAGAAAAATGACCCACAATCATTATGTAAATTGATTTAATTATTTTGTGTATTAATTTCTAGTCTATTAACATGTCATACAATTGTAATCAATGACATTCCAATTATTCTTTTTCTAAAGTTCGTCTTCTTACAGAAAATTTTATTGCATACATACAAAGGATTTCAAAAAGTTTATGGAAAAATGGAATGAAAAGATAATGCTTCTTGTTGGCATTTTGTATGATTTTCTGTATATAAAATCCAGGACAGGTAAGTCTATAGAGACAGTAACTGGTATGGCAGAGGAGGCTGGGGGGAAATGGGGAGTTATCAACAATGAGTATGAGAAGAAAACGCTCTGAAATTTATTGGATGCTGATTGTATAACTCTTTACAATATGACTGGACAATTAAATTCTATGATATATGAAGTATATGCCAATATAACTACCTTAAGGAAGGGTAACAGAATTCTTGCACAACCTTTCATAGTTCTCTCATAGCATCAGGTCTTGCTGGAGTAATAAACTGACTTACTACGTTATTCTGGACAACAATGAAATGCCAACCTTCATGGACATGGTTTTATGTATTTGTTAAATCTTTTCTTTCCTGGGTCAAAAGGTCACTATACTGTTTCCAGTTCCTTTTGTCTTTTAATGCTGGAGGAATTAATTGCCATCGTCTTAATTTACTTTTTTAATACATAGAGCTACTGAGTAGTTTAAAAAGAGAAAAGAAATCTACCAAAATTACAAAGAGACAGCCCTTTTGCATAGCCTCCCGCTCTGGTAACCACACTCTATTTAGAATTGCAAGAATACAATACTGGGGGAAATGGCAAGAGCTTACCTCTGGAGCTGTTACTTGCAGTGACAATGCAATATTCTTCTGACTTTTCTGTCGAAACGCTCCATCTTTTATCGTGGCCTTCTGCTGACGCGCAGTACTCGGTATTCGGTTGGGCCTTCGGGATACTGGACCAACACTGCGTTTCATTGCACTCATTCACCGTAATGCACACGGCCTGCAGAGGCACAATGAAGATGCAGGGCTCCTTTCAATTTGCTAAGGAGTAGCACCATTTTCATCAGGACACGAGACTGAAGGAAACATGGCTGTGGTGTTTCCCATCACCATCAATTTATGATGACCATGTTTGAATGAGGCGATCAAAGTTCTGCCATCAAAGTCAGTTATTCAACCAACAATGCTCGCTTGCCCTTATCCCTATAGAACTAAAAACTGAGTTGGGGTGAGAGAGAACATTTCACAAGAAGAATGATAAAAGTGTTCTGGAAAGGCTGCCGGATCCTTTGGCAGTAACATAGGAAGGGTTGGGTGAGGCCATCCTGGTAATGCATCATTCATTCAGCCAGCCAAGGCGCATGGGTCACTCAGAGTGCCAAGCATGAGTTCCATCCCAAGATGCAAAGGGAAGACATCAGTCCCTGCCTTCACAGAACGTAGAATGCAATGGAGAAGAGGGTTAAGAAAGAAATGTCACAGGGGGCAAGGTGCAAGGCACGATACAGGCTGCGTGCAACTGCTGGTGCTGTGTGCCACTTAAGTTGATTCCAACTCATTAAGATCCTATATGATGGTACAGAACTGCTCCACGGAGCTTTCTAAGTTACAGTCTTCATGAACACAGATTGTCGGGTATTTTTTCCTGTGGAGCCACTGGCAGGGCAGAACTGCCAACCTTGGATTAATAGCAGAGCACTTAACCTCTGCACCACTAGGACTCCTTTGCATGTAACTAGTAGCAGTCAAACCACGGAAGAGGAAATCATTGACTGTGTCCCTTGGAATTCTTGTGGTGATCCTGTTGCCTACGGTAAACAGAAGAAATTTGCCATATTCTACGTAAAAGCGTGGTGCTTTCAGGGAACTATGAACAAGCAGTTCCCCAGCGCACAGGGCAAAGTCATGGTGGGAGGAATGGGGAGACAAGGAGCTAGAAAGACCATGAGAGCCTTATTCACTATGTCATGAAGGGGGATTTGAACCTGGGGGCTTGGGGGTGGGGTAAGGGATTGGGGAGGGGTAACCAGTGGGGTGTCCTTAAGAGGTTGAAGGTGTGAAGTAATAAGGTGAAGTTTGGGTTTTTGAAAAATAACTGTCCCAACAGCCAAGTAATATTGTAAAATCTAAATCAGATCATGCAATTCTTCTGCTTAAAATCTCTCCAAAGGTGTAACCATGCACTCAGTATAAAAGTCAAATCCCAAGAGGAGTTATGAGTTGTGGCCCCAATGATGTCATGGGCTCTTTTTTCCTGCCACACCTGCTGGGGCTCCTTGCAGCCCCTTGCATATTCCTGGTACGCTCCTGCAAGGGCCTCTGCTCAGAGGATCCTCGCCGAAAAAGCCCTTGCTCACCTCCTTTAGCCTTGGCTCTGACAACTCCTCAACAAGCCTTCCTGGCCACCCACCCTATTTAGATTCACTGGTCCTCACCCAGTCTACTGGCACTGTCCCTGGCCCCCCTGTAGTTTTCTTAACGAGCACTGTCATCTGAGTTTTGTTTGTACTGTTCACTGGGATATCCTTGATGACCAGAAGGCGCACAGTAAGTACTTGATAAACATTTGCTTAATAAATTAATGGCAGCATTGTGAAGACTGAAAAAAACTGTGCTAGGAGCCCTGGTGGTGTAGTGGTTATGCATTGGACTATAATCCACATGGTCTGCAGTTCGAAACCACCAGGAGCTCCTGGGGACAAACTGAACTTTCGACTTCCATAAGCAGTTACAGTCTCAGAAACCCACAGGCAGGTCGCTAGGAGTCCGTACTGAGGTGAGGAGGTGCTCATGGAAGTGTGATCTACACACCAGAAGGAAAAACAGTATCCGTCAGTGTGAGGTTTAGAGCAAGCCAATGGAAGAAAGCCTTAATTGATGAATGAAGATGCACAGCGGTTTACAATCTAGCGCCTGCTCCTGATCCCATTGCTGGCGAGGAATGGTTAGCAGACCAGGTACTCTGAGTGGCACTGGAGTCCAAGACTGGAGGTGGAAAGGAGATTTGAGAAGTTGTTACAAATATTCAGGCCTAGTTAAAGGCCTGGTGTAAGAAATGGGGGAGACATAATAAACTGGAAATAAATTGTAAGTGGAATATAGAAGACAGTGAGAAAAAGAAATCTAGGATTCTAGATCTTTATACGTTTTAAAAACCTAATTTCAGGTATGGGTAAATAGGTAGATGGTGGTCAATGGGGACTCAGTTCCGAGTTTCACACATCTGAGGATTTCAACCAGAGTCATGTCTTTACATAGATATTTATAGAAGCCAAAGATACCATTTCTAAGATCTCACATATACAGATATACCCATATTTGTGTCCATTTATATAAACTTTTGAGTTGTTAGCTTATGTAATTACATATCCTAATCACAGAATTGTTACTAAACATTAATATTATGTGTTATTAAACATTATTATATATATAATAATACCCATTATATAAGCTTGGAACTCACAACTTTATATCCTTAGCCTAATATCCTATGGCCTAGCTACAATTTCTGCTTGGATTATACTCCATTTGCAACTTTCCCAGTCTTAGTTATGAAAATAACTAAATTGCTGTCTAGTTTTCTCTGTTTCTGGCTCTCCCTCACCCCCACCCCCATCACAATTCCCAACCTATTCACCAGCAAATACTACTGGATCTACTATCAGAACATACTGTCTGCCCTCGTCTCTCACTCCTAGTTCTATCACTCTGGTTCCTTCCATTATCTCCTTCCTCCTCTGGCCTAGAGCACTGCCATGAGCTCCCACCTTCTTGCTGCTGGTCCTTAGGCCCATGATCCAATCTCAATCTAATAAGATACATTGTATCAGATTGTATCACTCTTCTGATCAAAGCCCTTCCCCCATACCCCATGGTTTATTCATCTTATTCGGAGTAAAAGCCCAAATCCCTACATAGGCATAAGGGCTCTTCAGTATGTGACCCCATCCCACTTGGATCCCTTTCTGATTCCATTTCTTCTACTCTTGCCCTTACTTATTCAGCTCCACGTTATGCCCTCATATTATTGCACATTGGCACAATGAAGAAGAAAAGATTGTAATTATCTTCGGTTACCCCTGGAGAAAAGGGAGGTATACTGCTAAAGCACTAGACTAGGGTCATGCTACTGAAACTGGCTGAGAAACACTTAAACGTATTAATCTAGTCACTGTTAAAGATGAACAAATTCCTCACAATAGTATTCCTATCTTCCTTTTCTCTTGCAAAAATCTATATCTACAGACTTTTCTGAATATGCCTAGAATTCTACTTCGATTACACTATGATAAGAAACAACTGATGCTATATACAGAACAATTTCTACTCAGAAAAAGGTGAACTGGAAACACTTACTTTACTTCCATTAGTTTTCACATTTACGTTGTATGTGAAGCTGTAGCAAGTATCTTCAGAAGCAAACACAGTTCCCAGCTCTGTTCCATTTACAATAACTAATGGATGAAATATGTCGATAATGATTATGTCTTCCTTTTCTCTGATATGTAGCTTAGGTGGTCCAACTTTCCCTGAGAAAAACAACACACATGTGCATTATATATGTACACACACAGAAACATGCACTCAGGCACACTTTAATACTGATCTTGGGACTTCATGGTACTTTCCATAAAATTAAAAACAAAGAAAAAATGCAACCTGCTCTTTTTCTGTTGTTGCTGTCCTAAAGCAGGGCCATATGTAAACCATCCCACTAAAATCCAGAATATATTCTAAGTGTCTTTAGTATAGAAATACTCAACATCGCTCAGGCAAGAATGACTCTTAACTAAATTTCTCTTTAGTGGTGTGATTTCATTCTAGTCCTAGAGAAAAACACTTGGGTATGACCCTTAGTAAAAAATATTGACATCATAAGGGCTTTATAAACTATTTGCTTTTTTATCTTAGTTTCTATGAGTTAAGAAACCTGGGCTGCAAAAATTGTTTCAGAAAAAGCCTGAGCCATCTTTGATTCCTCACCACGACTGTTATCACCAGCACCCAGCCTGTCTGCGATGATGGCGGTAGAAGTTGGCCTAATGCATTCGGTTTGTATGGTGAAGACCACAGCTAGCATCATTCCACGAGATGCGGTGTGCCTTTGATGCCTGCCCCTGAAGGGGACAAATAACCTACCCTGCTCATCAGGCTTAGGGAGCAGCACTTTGTGCCCGGTGGGTCTCTTGTTCCCTTTTAAAATTCTTATTATGAGAAATTCCAATGATACTAAAAGTCAACATTTAGCAATTAGTAAGCATTATACCATGTTTGCATCATCAATCCATTTTTTTTCCCAGCAAAAATATTTTCCCAGTTGTCCCAAAGTTATCTTTTATAGCTGATTACTTGAAACCCAGGATTCAGGCAGAGAGTCCATACAGTGCAATGGGCTGTTTTGTCTCTAAAACCTTTTCCATCTACTGCAGACTCCCCTCTACCTCTGCCTTTTAGCCATGACATTGCCTTGTGGAAAAGGCTGGAACAGTAATCTCATAGATGGGCTCGTTTGCCTGATTTCTTCTGTTTGCTCATTCTGTTGCTTGACTTGACTCTCAATCTACTGTACAGGGAGGTCCATTTTTGTCACCGCAGTGTCCTCAGGATCAATGAGACACAGATTGGCACAGAATAAGAGTATGCCCTGGGTAAATATTTGTGGAAGAACTGGCCAACAGATGACAAAGGTATGGACGCTGGAGAAAAAGGGGGGAAAAGGCATTCGAAGGAATGAAGAGGAAGGGTCAAGTAAGTAGGCACACTCTGAAGAGCAGGAGGAGAACCCAGGCAGTGTCTAGTGACACAGCACGGCAGCTGGCAGGGGATAGGGAGGTTAGAAGATAAGGGAATGAAGGCTGCAGAAGTGAGGGCCATGTGACTAGAGCTTTCTTTTGCCTAGGAGTCAGGGTTTGAGAACTCCAAGGTAGGAGGTCATAAATTCTGAAGCTGGAGGCAAAAACAAAGATCAGGTAACTATACTACTGGACTAGGATTCCAGGGAGTAGAGAACAGAAAATCCTGAGGGTAGAGAAATTAATGAAGTAAATTTAAATTGACATTAAAATTTCCCCAGGTATTGAAAGGGCATACAGTAGAGAGAATGAGAGCCAGCCACCCAAGTCCTGAGCGGATGGAACTTGGAAGTGAATGCTAGAGAAGGCAGGGAGGGAAGGGCCAGTGCATAGCTGGTGGGGCAGCACCAAGTCCATCTTTGCATGGGGTTGAGGTGCACGGGCTCCCAGAGGGCAACGCGACGGCTGTCTCCCCGCCCTATTTTGTGAAGCTTGGAGAAAGGGAAGATATGAACCCTCCAGATGCTTCCTGAGCATTTTAGTAATGTTTAGCAATTGCGCTCTCTCTCTCTCTCTCTCTCTCTCTCACACACACACACACACACACACACACACACGACCTATGTAGGCATTTTCAAGTCTAAAATCTAGACATATGCATATTTTACCCACCATCTTTGCAGATAATGAAATCCTTTGTCTCCACATAGGCCGATTCTTTTTGCCCAAGCCTCGCTTTAACTCTGGCCCAGACAGACTCTAATGGATCGTAAATTTCATTAAAAATATTACAGTGATGGAGAGAAATATTCGTACAGACAGCCTTCCATAGCCCGTAGCTGAAAGAAAGAGGGATCAGAAAACACAAAGGTAACTTTCACTGTTAACTTATACACTTGACCCTCCTTAGTCTATGCTTTTCTGATTTTCCTTTGCAGGACAGAGCAAGAGTGAAATAAGTGCAGGATGGAGAAACTCTTGATTAGAAATAACACCAATTCCTTTACAATAAGGAGGCTCATTTTAAAATGTAAGACTTTTACAGACCACATTACACACCCAATTAAAGAATCCAGTCTTAAACAAATCAAGATATCAGTTAACAGACTGTGTTAGACAGGGTTCTCTAGAGAGATAAAACCAAATTGTTGAAATTTAATATATTTATTTATAAAGATAATTAGATATATAACAAGAAATGAACTGTTAAATCATATACAGATAAATATATAATACAAGAAATAAACAGTTAAATTATAATGCACTACAAATGGCGCAATGCAACTCACTCCCATGAGAGAGAGTTGTGAGAGACTAGCAGTCCTTCAAGTCTAGTCTGCTGCCAGATCGTCCTCTATTTATAGAGAGAGCTAGGCTATGTCATCACAGCAGCCAATCACAAGGCAGGCCACCAACTGCCAGTCCCCAGCTCCAGAGATGTCTTAAAGGGACCTCAACTTACAGTGACACAGTCCACAGGCTAGGCCTCCCAGGTAGTGTAGCCTTTAAATTGAGGCACAGAACAAGCAAGGCAGCCACACACTGGTCCAATGATCAAAGAGGGAGAGACAAGGAAGGTGAGGCTCACCAAGGCATTTATCTCTCTGCCCTTCAGTTAATCCCACTTGTGTTTATCGGCCAGGGTGCCACAATAAACTATCTCACAGACATTGTTTTAAGCTAATTGCAAAATCAAGCAAGGTATTAAAAGATCTAAAACTTGTCAACACAGCACGGCAGCTGGCAAAGAGGATAGGGAGGTTAGAAGATAAGGGAATGAAGGCCGCAGAAGGCAGATTTCTGCCTTCCTACTCAAAAACACATTACACCAAAGGAGCTAAAAGTAACAGCATTATTTTTTATACTGAACTTATGTTATTTGTAGTGCCTTCAAATCTTAGAAGTATGTGATATTTCTCTATGTACTACAGGGAAGACACAGAAATAGGAGGCACTGTTCTAAAAAGAAAGAGCCCTTCTAGCGTAGTGGTTATGTGTTGGGTTGCTCACCACGAGGTCAGCAGTTTGAAACCACCAGCTGCTCAGCTGGTGCAATATGGGGCTTTCTACTCCTACACTAGGTAGTCTTGGGGCAGTTCTACCATGCCCTGTTGGGTTGCTCTGACTGGCATCGACTCAATAACAGTGAGTTTGGTTTTTGGTTGGTTTTGAGGAGAACAGTTGTGTGCCCCTAGCATGTCTGGATGTGTAGATGCATGTCCACAAGCAGCCATTTGGGAAGTTGTGCCAGGTGGAAGGAAGGATGAAGGGAGCAAAGCAGGAGTTGCACAGGTGCAAGCAGTGAAGCAAGAACAGAACACAAGGGTAGTGCAGTAATACTCACCCATAATTCTTTACCTCCACAGTGAAAACAGGAGCTGGCACCATGGCTGGGTACTCCCAATGCAGGACAGGATTCATGTTGTAGGACTCGATCGCAACATTGGTTGGCAGAGGCACTGTGAAAGGAGATCCCAAGAGCAAAATAGGCATCAGTATGAATGTGACATTGGAACACATTCTAAGACACCCAAGATGGCCAAATGCACGTGTGTGAAGAAAAGCAGAATTCTCCAGGATAGTCATTAAATTAACAATAGATTGTAAAAATGATTTTAAAAAATAAATACAAATATAGCCAAAGGCAGTATCTGCCCATCTTGTTTGAAGAGTCTTTATGAGTCAGCATTGCCTCTTGTAAGAACGAGGACCCCTGGTGGCGGAGGGTAGTTGGTCACAAAGTGGGCTGGTAGCCGCAAAGCCAGGGGGTTAACCCGAAAGCCGCTCTTGGGAGAAAGATGAGCGTGTTGATGCCTGTAAAGACTTACAGCCCCATAACTCTAGGGAGCAATTCTACTATGCTCTGTGGAGTGACTATGAGTAGGAATGGATTAGATGGTGGTGAATTTGGTTGGATATAAGAATAATGCTCATTTAATCAGTAGAGTTTTTTTTTTTTTAATTAAACACAGTTTCTATTCAATGTTTACAGAACAACTGGCTACAGCAGGGATAATCAATTTTATTCTAAAACACCACCCAGACTTTCAACTCTCTACTCGATAACCATTACACACTCCTCATGCCTTCGGGTTAGCACAAGGAAGGCCTATAGAATGACCAGAAGAACCATCTCTCATTCCAGCTTTGTCAGCATTGTGTTCTGGGATGTCCTGTTTATAAAGACGCACAGTATTGCGTCCTGCCTTTGCTCTTTGAAGCCATTTAAGAAAATGTTTGTTGCTAAGACTTGAGTCACCAAAGGGCTTAAGTTTCTTGAATATCTTGTAATCATACATTATCAAACCATAGTTTGGTTATTAAAAGAAGATGTATAGTCCCCCTACGCAGCATAAAAAGGTGTCATCTGTCACCCTTGGAAATTTGAAACACACACCTGCACCTTCCTCTCTGCTTTCACACCCCTTCCCTAACTATTTATGACTAGACGTGAAATGACAGACCTACTGGCCTAGAAAAGTATTTTACATACAATTTACTTTGTCATTAAAATACAATTATGAGAGAAATAGTGACTGGTATGTTTCAAAGTGTCTCGGATGACGCTGATGATCTCTTAGGTTTATATTACATAGATTGCTCTGATAAAGATCCCCGGCCACACAGTGGGTAAGAACTCGGCCTCAACTCCCTGCCACCGAGTCAGTTCGGGCTAATAGCAACCCTATCGAACAGGGTGGAACTGCCCTATGCGTTTCCAAGACTGCAGCTCTTGACAGGAGTGGTAAGTTCCATCTTCTCCAGCGGAGCTGACGGGCAGTTTCCAACTGACAACCTTGTGGTTAACAGTCCAATGAGTAACCACTAGGCCATCAAGGCTCCTCATGGGTAAGCTCAGCTGTCAACTGAATTGTCAATGACTCTCAAGTCTTTATCAGCAGTTCAATGGGAGAAACATGTGGCAGCCAAATGCTTCTGTAAAGATTACACCCTTGGAAATATGGTGCAATTCTATCCAGGCCACTAGAGTCGCTATCAACCACCATTGATTTGATGGCAGTGGAAATTCTACAATGCAATTTTAAAATTCCTTTAAAAAACAAATGCAAATGAAAACACAACCTCTGAAAATATTTGAGGCATGGCCAAGTGTAGTACGTGAAGGACAATTTGTAACAATAAAGTCACAGATCAAGACAGAAGAATCCCAACCAACACCTTAACCTTACATCTTCAACAATTAGAAAAAGGACAGCAAAGTAACCCTACAGTCACCAAAATTAAAGAAACAATAAAGACTGGAACAGAAATAAATGAAATAGAACAGGGGGGGAAATTAGAAGGAATCAACAAGGCTAAAAATTGGTTCAACAAAGGAGAAGATACAAATAGCACACACAAATTAAAAAACTACAAACTTCTAGAAACATATTACCTACCTAAGCTAACACAGACTGGGAAGAAATTTTGAACAGGTCCATTACAAGAGCAGAATCGATCTGGTCATTTAAAATCACCCAACAAAAAAATAAATAAAATAAAATAAAATCACCCAACAATAAGTGTTAGCCCAGACAGCTTCACTGGAAAATCCCACCACACATAAAAAACAGCTGACACCAACCAGGCCTACTCAAATTATTCCAGAGTACAGAAAACTCCAGGATTCATCTTATGATGTGAACATGGCCTTGATGCCCACACCAGGGAAAGATGTGTCAGTAAAAAAATTAAATTATAAACAATCAGAGGTCATGAACATAGAAACAAAACAATCTCAATAAAATTCTAGTTGCTAGAATCCAGAAAAAAACGCCCTCCCCCCACTTCCCCTGCTTCTGAGATGGTTCATTTTGTACCCAGCAGGATAGTAATCACAATGAACACTGTTAACAATCACTCACAACCGAACCCTATCAGTATCTCCCCCCACCTTTCTTACCTAGACACACAGAGTCAAGGATCATTTGGTAGGAGGTAGAGAGACAATAATTAGAAAAGCCACATTAATTCACAGTACTGCGCCAAATCTAACACATCGCTGAGTTTTAGCCAGAACTGTAAGAAAGGGACATTAAAGGTATCCAAATTGGCAAAGAAGTAAAAATACCTTCAACTGCAGCTAATCTGATCCCATACGTAGAAGATCCCATAGACTCCTTTAGAAAATTACTGGATTAATTGTATGATTCAACAAAATAGCAGGATAAAATGTCAATAGACAAAAATCACTCAGATTACACTAAGCAAGAGAACTCTGGAAAGGAACTAAGGTAAATAATGTCATTTAAAATAGCTGCCCCCAATATGAAATGATTAGGAATAATCTACCCAGAGAAAAAAAGGCCTACACAAAATAAAACACTACTTGAGAAACTAAGAGACTATCACTGTGAAAAGGTCAACATTACTCAAAGTAATCTACAGATACAATGCGATCCCGATCCAGATTCCAACATGATTCTTGAAAAAGCACCAACTTTATATGGAAAGGAATGAGACCCTGATAGGCAACATTCTACTAAAGAAGAACAAAGCAGGAGATGTGACACTTCTTGGTCCTGAAACCCACCACACAGCCCCTCCGACAGAGCAGGCTGCGATTGACACAGGGACAGCCACACAGGCCAGTGGAGCAGAGCTGAGAACCAAGAATTAAATCCAACCGTTTATGGGCGAATGATTTGACCAAAAGCTTAAACTCATTGAATGGGGAAGAGATCATCTCTTTAACAAATGATGCTGTCAAAGTGGATATTCATTTGTGGGGAAATGAAACAGGATCCATCTATCACATCCTAAAAACGAAACAAAACAAAAACTCAAGATGGACCAAAGACCTAAATGTAAAACCTCAAACAAAAAAGACAATCAATAAAAAAATAGGAACAGCGGGTCTGGAGGAAGAATCAATAACCTGCAATATGCAGGTGACACAACCTTGGTTGCTGAAAGCAAGGAGTTGAGGCACTTACTAATGAGGGATCAACTACTGTACCCTTCAGTATTGATTATAATTCAATGTAAAAAAAACCAAAAAATCCTATCAAATAAGCCATTAGACATCATTAAAAAAAAACAGAGTAAAGACTGAAGTTGTCAAAAATTTCATTTTACTTGGATCCACAATCAATGCTCATGGGGGCAGTGGTCACAGAATCAAATGACGTATTGGGCAAATCTGCTGCAAAAGACCTACTTGAAGGGGCACAGAGCAAAGATGTCACATTGAGGAGTAAAGAGCACCCATCCAAGCTTTCGTATTTTACATGACTTCACGTGCTTGTGAAGGCCAAACAACGAACCAGGAAGGCTGCAGCAGACTGGATACAGGGAACTATGGGGTCGATGAAGAATACTTAAAGCACCATGGGCTGTCAAAAGAACAAACAACCCTGTCTTGGAGGAAGTGCAGCCAGGAAGCTCCTTAGAAGCAGGGATGGTGAGACTTTATCTCACGTACCTTGGACATGCTATCAGGAACCCCAGTCCTTGGAGAAGCTCATCAGGTTTTCAACAACAATCAAATCCACTGGTATCAAGTTAACTCCAACTCGTAACCACTCTACACAGCACAACGCTGTCCCTGTGGGTTTCTGAGGCGATAAATCTTTATGGGCGCAGAAAGCCTCATCTTTTTCCTGCAGAGTAGCTGGTGGCTTCAAACTGCTGACCTGCAACCTAATGTGTAACCCACTACAAAATCCAGGGCTCCTTTCCTGAAGTAAAGGGTCAACGGAAAACAGGTCAACCCTCAAGGAGATGTAATGACATAGCGGCTGACAACAACAGGCTCAAATATGACCATTGTGAGGATGGCGCAGGAACAGACATTGTTTCATTCCGTGTCCGCTGTCAGGCGTAACTGACTTTGCAGCACCTAACTACAATCCATGACATCAATATGCTTTCAAACAAATGAAAATATCAAACAGAAGAAGATGAAATAGATGACTGGGACTTCTTAAAACTAGAACCTGTGTAACAAGAAAGAAGAAAAAGAACCCTAAGACTGGGGGGAAATTGTTGCAAAGGTATGCCAAACAAGGGAATAATTTCTAAAACGTACAGAAAAAGTCAACACCTCAACAACTAAAGGGCAATTCATTTTTAAAAATGAGTAGAGGACATGAACAGACACGTCACCAAAGAAGACAGGTGGCCAGAAAACATATGCAAAAACGCTCACAACCATTACCAATTTGAGAGGCAAATCAAAACGAGTTACCTCACCCAGCACAAGTAACAAAGCTCCAGGGAACGAAGGGAGGGAGGGAGAGAGGGAAGGAAGACCACCACTAATGCTGGCGTGAGACCAGATCCCTCACACACTGGCCCGCCATGGCGCAACCTCTGGGAAGGGCTGCAGGAGCTCTAGTTGGTATCTATCCTAGACAGATGAGAGTCATGACACCAACGCCCATGCTCATCACAGCTCCACTTACAATAGCAAAAAGATGGAAGCTGCTAGATGCCCAGCAGCAGCAGAATGGTTAAA